TTTTGAGACGCAGTCTCACTCTGTCACTAGGCTAGACTGCAGTGGTGAGATCTCGGCTTACTGCAACCTTTGCCTCCTGGATTCAAGTGATTCTCTTGCCTCAGCCTCTCAAGTAGCTGGGACTACACCACACACCCAGCTAATTTTTGTATTTTTAGTAGAGATGGGGTTTCACCATGTTGGCCAGAATGGTCTTGATCTTCTGACCTCATGATCTGCCTGTCTCAGCCTCCCAAAATTCTGGGATTACAGGCCTGAGCTACCAAGCCCCGCTCAATATTAACTTTCACCTGAAAGGTGAAATAATCCTCTTTAAGTGGCTGAATGGCCACACCTTTTCCATTGACAAGCTGCGTTAAGTCAACAGGTTAAGTAGGATCAACATGACCCAAATCAGTAAGATAGTGCAGTCTATTGAGACTTAAAGGCTCTGAAGCTAGGTCCTTCATTAAATCTGTACTTTGGGATTCTGATGTAAAATAGAGTCTGGGCTATCTCAAAGCCCAGCTGAGCGTTTCCTCTCTACCTTTCTCCTTTATGGCCTCTGCCACATTTTCCACCTCTTCTCCGACCTTTTGGTCGCCTCGTGGGTTTCCTGGAGCCAGGATTCGGCTTTAAGCTGGTCAGGCTCACTCGCGGCAGGGCCCAGAGCTGCCATAACCTGCGAAAGAGTTTTATTTCTTCCTTTCTGACCTGTATGTCTTTTATTTCTGTTTTCTAATTGCACACCCTCGTCTTTTTCCTGATAAGGGGGGAGGGCAGGGCGGGGGGAAGCTTTCAGTCTTTCACTACTCAGTATGAGGCTACCTGTAGGTTCTTTGTAGGTGCCTTTCATCAGGTTGATGAAATTCCTCTCTAGTAGTTTGCTGAGAATTATTACGAAGGGTGTTGGATTTTGTCAAACGCCTTGGCTGCATCATTTCCACTCATATTTAACTGGGAAAGCCTGTTATACCTGTCTCAAAATGGCAGAACATCGTAAAGTCTAGTGGTGACAGCTGTGGCAAGAGGCTGAGCCCCAGATCCTGCCAGGCTAAGGTGTCCTCGGGTTGGAGGAGCAGGCTCGCCCCTCCCTCTGCTCAGAAGGTCCAGCAGCCTGACCAGATTCCGCAGCTTGCTGGGTTTTCCGGGGACTGCTTCCCTGCACGGTCCACACACCTGTCCCAATGTCCTCACCAGGGAAGGGTCTACCCAGGGCCAGCCTGCCTCAAAGAAGAAGTGGTTTACTGTTTTCCCCGCCTTTAGAGGGAATGAGGCCTCTGCTCCTGGTCCTTACTCTATTCCACTGTCCAGCTGGCGCATGCCCCGAGGCTCCCATTATACAAATTGGACGCTAAGGTGCAAAAGAACTAAGAATTTGCATAAGGTCCCCAACAAGCGAAGACGGGCTCCAAAGGTGGGAAGTAGACTTCGTTTTTCCGACCCAGCTTCCTTTAACCTGCAGGGCTGCCCCAGCGCCCCGGGCTTCATCCAGCACTGCGTGCAGGCGGGAAGCCCGAGAGGCTGATTCGGGCGCCCAAGCGAGGGCCCAGGTGGGTGAAACAGGCGCACCAAGGAGCTGACACCTTGGCCCCCAGTGGATGCAAAGGGTCGGGCTCCGCCCCCTCCCGGCCCCGAGTCTGCTTTGATGTGCTGATGCGGCCTGGAAGGGGCCACTTCACACCTCTGGCGCGGCATAAAGCGGTCGCCAGTCCCGGGCCGGCAGACGTGCCGCCGCCGCTATGGCCCAGCCGCTGTGTGAGTCCTGGATGTTCTCCGCGGCCTGGGGCCCGGCTCGGCCGCCGCCGTCCTCCGAAAGGGACTGCTCCGCTCCGTCGTCCCCAGACTCGTGGGGCAGCCCCGTGCCGAGCCTCGCGCGGCCCGGCGCCCGCCCAGACCCCGGCGCCGGGACAGTGGGGAAACGCAGAGCGCGCAGCAGCCGCCAGGGTAGCGGCCAGCGGCAGAGCGCCAGCGAGCGGGAGAAACTGCGCATGCGCACGCTGGCCCGCGCCCTGCACGAGCTGCGCCGCTTCCTGCCGCGGTCCTTGGCGCCCGCTGGCCAGAGCCTGACGAAGATCGAGACGCTGCGCTTGGCTATCCGCTACATCGGCCACCTGTCGGCCGTGCTGGGCCTCAGCGAGGAGAGTCTGCAGCGCCGACGCCGGCAGCACGGAGACGCGGGGTCCCCTCGGGGTTGCCCGCTGTGCCTGGACGGCGGCCCCGCGCAGAGTCAGACGGAAAAGGAGGGGTGGGAGCCCGGGCCGCGGCCGGGGCCGGGGCCGGGGCCGGGACAGGGGCGCGGGCTGGGCCTGGGCTTCGCTGTCTGCGCCGGGGCGTCCTGGGGGTCCCCGCCCGCCTGCCCCGGAGCCCGACACGCGCCCGAGCTGCGCGACCCGCCTGCGCTCTTCGCCGATGCGACGTGCCTGGAAGGGCAGGCGATGGAGCCGAGCCCGCCGTCCGCGGTTAGTGCCTTCCCTTTGCCCCCGCGCACAGCCCCACCACCCGCCACGGCCAGGACCGGGCACCGTAGCGCTCCCTGCCCGCAGCTTGGCCTCTATAGTATGGCCAGGGCGCCAAGAGGGAGGGCAGGGGACTGCTAGGGTGGAGCCCACGAGCGCGCACACGCTCACGAGGCCACCGGTGCTGAGGCTTGCGCTGTCCTCTTTCTCCCTGCAGCTCCTTCCCGCCGACGTGCTGGCCCTGCTGGAGACCTGGATGCCCCTCTCGCCTTGGAGTGGCTGCCGGCCAGAGGAGCCCAATGATAGCGGACAACTGACGCCCTCTCTGTGAGCAGTGAGGCTGTTGTGGCCTCAGCACCTTCGAGGTGGTTCCTCTGCCAACTGCCTTTTCTGGAAGAGGGCACCGCGATCCCAGCAGGGACATTGCTGCGGGTGAGAGCCGTCCCCACCGCGCCGGTTCTTCCCAGCGCCCCCCCTCCATGGAGGGACCCATAGGGTTAGACGCTTTGAGGCAAGCAGGAAGCTCTGCCTGATGTGAATTTATTTATTTGTGAATAAACTGTGCTGGTGTCAGTTGGCCATTTCTTCTTCCTCCCCGTGGACACGGCTCCCTCTCTCCAAAGAAGAGCATGGGAGAGTTGGGAGGGGTTCTTGCAATCTTTAGCCGGTCCCCCCCCCCCGCCCCGTCCATCCCCGGAGGCCCAGACCCCTTTGGCCTTGCCCCCAGTCCTGGCTCAGCATCTCCTAGTCCAGATGGGTTAGCCTGGAAGGGGTGGGGAGGGGCGACCTAGGAGAAGGCGCTGGTAAGTAGAATCTGCTCATCTTTTCTTTGAACTTGGTGGGGAACTGGTTAAAACCAAAATATCTCTGTAGAAATACAACTCTCTTATTATTTATTGTATGTACATCAGATACCTAATACATGTCATACTGGACAGTTTTACAGAAGAATGAGAGTCAGCACTCAAGCCCACTCTGAAGCTAGGCTTCAGAGTCCCAGCTCTCAGCTCTGGTATGATTTTGCCAGCTCCATTCATATTAGGGCCTGAGGGACAGCAGCTCCAAGGGGTCACTTTCTTGGATCCTGGGGCCTTATTCTCCATGCACTGGAGCAGCCTGGCTTTGAACGCCCCCCCTCTGCCTCCCCTGCATTTTCCTATCTCCCTTTTCTCTGGTTTTTCCCCCTTGTAGCTTAGGAACATACGTAACGATGTGGCTGTCCTGAGTTTATGTAACCACGACCTCCTAGAGGCCCAGCTGGGGTGAAGTGAGGGGCTCACGGGTTGCACTGGAGTCCGCACAGGCAGCTGCCCTCCTGTCGTTTGCTGGATTCATATCAGGGAGCAGGAGAGGGGAGCCGGGCATGGGACCGAGCGCTTGTAATCCCAGCTACCTGCGAGGCTGAGGCAGGAAAATCACTTGAACTCAGGAGGCAGAGGTTGCAATGAGTTGAGGTCGCGCTGTTGCACTCCAGCCTGGGCAACAAGAGCAAAACTCTGTCTCAAAAAAATAAAAAAGGAGAGGGGAGACTTGATCCCAGGAAGCCTGTCCTCATCCAGACCAGGGTGTTGGGAACCCTCACGCTTGGTGGGTGTGTGGGGAGAAGGGATGTAGCCTCTCTGGATACCCAGTTCTCCCCTCCTCTCCTTCAAATGTCTGGAACACAGTCCTTAGTGTTTGCCTTTATAAGAGCTTTAAGATACAATTCTCATGCCATAAAATTCCCTCTTAACAACAGAACGGTTTTAGTATATCCACAGAGGTGTGCAATCATTGTCCCTAATTTTAGAACATTTTCAACCCCTCCCAAAGAAAGCAGTACCTGTTAGCATCACTCCCCACGATTCTCCTCCCAGCCCCTGCCACTCAGTCATCTAGTGTCTGTCTCTATAGGTTTACTTTTTCTGGACATTTCACATAAAAGGAATCGCAAAATCTGGCCTTTTGTGTCTGGCTTCTGTGGCTGAGCACAGTGTTTTGAAGGCTTATGATGCTGCCTCCTGTGTCAGAATTTCATTTCTTTTTTTTTTTTTTTTTGAGACGGGGTTTTTGCTCCTGTCTCCCAGGCTGCAGTGCAGTGGCGTGATCTCGGCTCACTGCAACCTCTGCCTCCCAGGTTCAAGCGATTCTCCTGCCTCAGCCTCCCGAGTAGCTGGGATTACAGGCGCCCGCCACCACACCCAGCTAATTTTTGTATTATTAGTAGAGACAGTGTTTCACATGTTGGCCAGTCTGGTCTCGAACTCCTGACCTCAGGTGATCCACCAGCCCCAGCCTCCCGAAGTACTGGGATTACAGGCGCTTGCCAGCACGCCCAGCAGACCATTTCTTTTTATTGCCCAGTACTCTTCCATTGTTGGCTACATCTCTGTTGGTTTATCGGCGCATCCGCTGATACTGGTGAGCTCATTTTTCAGCGCTTCAGAGGTCACTTCCGGGACTCTGGCCCAGGCCAGGAGGGGCAGTCAAGCAAAGTGGGATCGGGTCCCAGATCTGGAGTTTAGGGATCCAGTCCAGGCAGGGCACACCTTGGCTGGGGCTTAGCCACAGAGAGTGGACTCCAAAAGCCAGGCCCGCAGCGGGGTGGGACCTCACACCTTTGCCTCTCCTGCTCTCTGGCCCATCTCTCACTTCCCTCCCGGGACCCTAACTGGGCAGCGGGAAGTTTTCTGGAGCCGACCCAGCTTAGAAGGTCTATTTGCATGGCAAAGGCCTTGCGTTTTAGGATGGGGAATTAAAGTTATTAGCAAGTCTTTTCACAGTTAAGTGGGGCTCATTGGCCAGCCCCTTTCCCTGCAGAGGACTTCTCCTCCGGCTCAACGCCTGGGAGGGTCCCACTGTTTATTAGCACCCAGGTGTGAATTTTCATTAACAAGGTCCCTCTAATAGCTGCCCAGACAGGACTGGAGATAGGAAGGGGCGCCTCTCTCAGCGCCGGCGTCCCCATCCCCCATCCCGGCCAGCCCCTTCCGCACCTGGAGGAAACCCTGTGACCGTTCACAGAGCCGACCACAGTAGCCAGCGTCCAGGTAGGCACCCCGTGCCGGGTGGTAGGGGAGCCTCTCCCGCCTCAGTTCTCAGCCCAGCTGCGAGGTAAGCCCAGCTACAGGAGGGTTGAGGAAAAGGCTGCAGGTGGTGGGCTGACCTGTGTGCGTAATCACCTCGCTACAGCTGAACACCAGCTTGTCTCAAGAACACAGGGTTCCGGGGGTACCTCACCTCCCCCAAGGCCCAGGCAGGGTGCCCCAGTATGGAGTGGTCTGGGCCAGGCCCTGCGTGCCGTGGAGGGTTAGTGAGAGGGACCTCACGGCACGGGGGCGCCCGTTGAGGCCAGCTAGCTGCCCTCTGGTCCCCAGCCTCCCTCCTGTTGCGGGGAGCTGCTGTCGCAGGGCCACCTGGCAAGAAGCCAGCGCAGGGAAACGCACATTTCCCGAGCAGCGACCCTTGGCCAGGCTGTGTGCTTATTGCCTGAAATGCGCCATCTAATTTCAAATGTTGTGGCTTAGGATGGGTTTGCACTCTTCCCGTTTTACACGCAGAAGCTGTAGTACAGGGAGCTAGTATGCAGCCCCCGGGGACGGGGTCAGCTACGCGGGTTGATGACGCCTGTCTTTGCAAGAGCCATGGCAACAAGGTAGGGTGTGTGTGTAAAATAATGCTCCTAATGCACGCTGTGGCGGGGGGCTGTGTGTGTAAAATGTGTAAAATAACGTTCCTAACACATGCCGGCCACCAGTGTCATGGTTAGCAGGGAACCGGCTTCTGCTTGTGGACCACAAGTGTCACTCCACACTGAGACAGGGATGTGTGGCTGCAGCGTGTATGTTGGGTGGAGGTGTGGATGCTGTGTGGATGTGTGAAGGTGTGAATGCTGTGTGGAGGTGTGGATGTGGATGCTGTGTGGATGTGTGGATGATGTGTGGATGTGTGGATGCTGTGTGGAGGTGTGGAGGTGTGAATGTGTGGATGTGTGGATGCTGTGTGGAGGTGTAAATGTGTGGATGCTGTGTGGAGGTGTGGATGTGTAGATGTGTGGATGCTGTGTGGATGTGTGGAGGTGTGGATGCTGTGTGGATGTGTGGAGGTGTGGATGCTGTGTGGAGGTGTGGATGTGTGGATGCTGTGTGGATGTGTGGATGCTGTGTGGATGTGTGGATGCTGTGTGGATTTGTGGATGCTGTGTGGATGAGTGGTTGATGTGTGGATGTGTGGATGCTGTGTGGAGGTGTGGAGGTGTGAATATGTGGATGTGTGGATGCTGTGTGGAGGTGTGGAGGTGTGAATGTGTGGATGCTGTGTGGATGTGTGGATGTGTGGATGCTGTGTGGATGTGTGGATGCTGTGTGGATGTGTGGAGGTGTGGATGCTGTGTGGAGGTGTGGAGGTGTGGATGCTGTGTGGATGCTGTGTGGATGTGTGGATGATGTGTGGAGGTGTGGAGGTGTGAATGTGTGGATGCTGTGTGGAGGTGTGGATGCTGTGTGGAGGTATGGATGCTGTGTGGAGGTGTGGAGGTGTGGATGCTGTGTGGAGGTGTGGATGTGTGGATGCTGTGTGGATGCTGTGTGGATGTGTGGAAGTGTGAATGTGTGGATGCTGTGTGGAGGTATGGATGTGTGGATGATGTGTGGATGTGTGGATGCCCTGTCGATGTGTGGTGTGGATGTGTGGATGCTGTGTCGATGTGTGGTGTGGATGTGTGGATGTGTGGAGGTGTGGATGTGTGGTTGTGGGATGCTGTGTGGATGCTGTGTGGATGTGGAATGCTGTGTAAATGTGTGGAGCTGTGGATATGTTGATGCTGTGTGGACGTGTGGATGCTGTGTGGATGTGGATGTGTGTACGCTGTGTGCATGGATGGGTGTGTGGAGGTGTGGATACTGTGTGGAGGTGTGGATGCTATGTGGATGTGGATGTGTGTACACTATGCACATGGATGGGTGTGGATGTGTGGATTCCGTGTGGAGGTGTGGATGCTGTGTGGATGTGGATGTGTGTACACTGTGTGCATGGATGGGTGTGTGGAGGTGTGGATACTGTGGAGGTGTGGATGCTGTGTGGATGTGGATGTGTGTACGCTGTGCGCGTGGATGGGTGTGTGGAGGTGTGGAAGCTGTGTGCATGTGTGGCTGTGTGCATGTGAGGTGCACGTGAGGCTGTGCGCATGTGAGGCTGCGCATGTGAGGCTGTGTGCATGTGTGGCTTCTTTGTGGATGCTGATGGGACAACATGTAAAGGAGGGCAGCGCATTCAAGGACAGGCCAAGGTTCCAGTGTGAACATGGGAGCTGAAGAAGAGGGGTGGTGGTCCACAGTTGTCCCTCAGCGTGGATGGTAGACTGTCTCAGAGCCAGGCAGGGTGGGTGGTATGCTGGGAAGGGCTGCGTTCAGATCCAGCCATCATGACAGTGAGCAGTTCAGGAGAGAGACCGCAGGCAGGCCAGTAAGGAGGTGGCTCAGGGCCTTGCCAGAACCACTGGAAGGGGTGGCCCGCTGGGTGCTCCTGGTGTCACCAAGGCAGAAGGTCTGCCTGAAGGGGGAGTAGAACTGAGAGGCGGAGGGAGACTCCGGTGTGATCTCAACACCTGGGATCCAGCCACACTGTTGGCATGACTCCTAGATGGCGAAGCGATTGGAGCCAACACACCCCGTTTTGCTAAAGGTAGAAACTGAGTTGGGTTTCTAGCATCTGCTGTGGAAAGCCATGGAGACTTGGCGCAGGCTGTTCTGTGTATCCTGAGTCTCAATTATCTTCTCTGTAAAATGGGGATAACAGTAACTTCTGTGTTCCACAAGGTTGCTTTAGGCTTAGATGTAAATACACAAACCACAGAAATGTTGGTTCCTCGTCACGTTTAGGTGATGTGTAAGCCAAGACCATCTTCCTAATTCTCCTCCCTCATCCCCAGAGAGCTGCCAGAGCACCTGCTGTGTAGAGGGAATTACGCCAAGAGCTACGCTGCCTGTTGTATTTCATTCCCATGGTGGGGTGTAGACAGGGCCAGAGTGTCTCAGGCGGGGATCCCTTCATCCAAGGGGACAGTCAGCCAGCCAGTATCAGTGCCATATGGGAGGTGTCTGGCCAACAAGGGATGTGGTGTGTGGCCCAGGGAGGAAGTGGACAGGGCCACAGAAGCAGCTGCCACTGCAAGCCCTTCGTGCAGTCAGTCTCCTGGGTAGTTTACATCCGAGAGGCCAGGCAGGCCTAGGACCAGGCTGGGACATGTGACCTACCGTAGCCTCAAAGGCTCCACGTGGTGTCCTGGATCCCTGGGGCTGCTGGGGACCCCTCTGGCTGGTTTTTCTGGGAGGGCAGTTGCTAGAGAAGAGCAAGGCGTCTCTCTGCCCAGCCTCCTCTAGCGTTCTGGGGGCAGCAGTGGCCTAGCTCTGGCCTGCCTGCCACCTCTCCCTCCCACTTAGCCTCTCATAGCTGCGTGGCCTCAGCTCCTCAAAGCTGTTCTATACAGGTGTGAGAAGTGGCTGGAGAGGACAGGGGGCCTCACAGTCGCTGGCGTGGGGCGTCCGCTCATCGGAGGAAAATGGCTCTCCAGGGCCTAGGAGGTGAGTGGCCCTCACCAGGCCTGGGACTCGAGTTGAAACCATCATCTGGGCCCCGCTGGGGTCTGGACTGGGTGGGAACAATGGGTTACACACCACAGTAACTTGGGAGTCTGAGATAATATCGCTGTTTATTTCGGTGACACATCCACCCACCTGAGGGCTCTGACAAGAGGCTGAGTTCCCCTTGCCGGCCCTGCGGAGGCCCCAGGCTCCGAGTGCAGGCCTGTGCAGCTGTGGCTCTGTCTCATTCCTCTTGGCCTCAGTGTCCTGGGAGCGGCTGCCCAGTGACTGAAACCTTTTCAGAGCCCAGGGTGGTGGCAGCTTCCTTCTTGAAGTTCTCTCTCTGGAGCAAGCAGGAGTACCTCCGGAGCCGGGTCCAGTGCTCCTGCTCTTTCTCCGGGTTCTTCTCCAGTTTCCGATAGCTGAGGACCACACAACTATGATGAGAGGAATCTGCCCTCACTCCCCCAGCTCCCGGGCCCCCAGGGCAGGCCTTGACCACCCCGTGCTCCTGCGAGAAACTCAGAGGACATGCCTGCCTCATCCCTGTGTCCTCAGGACTCAGCCTGGTACACAGCAGGTGCTCAGAAGGCCTTTCCTGAGGAGCCATGGGTCTAGCATTCTAACCCGTGAGGTGCGCATGGATAGACAGGATGGCAAACTGGGGAACTGAAAGGCTGTTTGCAAACAACCTGTGGTATCACCCCCCATGGAACATTCAGACTGAAAAAGAGGACGTCCTGACACATGCTCCACCAGGGAAGACTCTTGAGGACATTGCACTCAGTGAAATACGCCAGTCACAAAAAGACACACTGTATGATTCCAACTTTTATAAAGATGGTTTGAGTTAGGTCTTTTATATATTTATTTATTTATTTGAGATGGAGTTTCACTCTTGTTGCCCAGGCTGGGGTGCAATGGTATGATCTCAGCTCACTGTAACCTCCGCCTCCCAGGTTAAAGCGATTCTCTTGCCTCAGCCTCTCAAGTAGCTGAGATTACAGGCATGTGCCACCATGCCTGGCTAATTTTGTATTTTTAGTAGAGACTGGGTTTCTCTATGTTGGTCAGGCTGGTCTTGAACTCCCGACCTCAGGTGATCCACCCGCCTCGGCCTCCCAAAGTGCCAGGATTATAGGCGTGAGTCACCGTGACTGGCCAAGTTGGATCTTTTAAAAAGTAAGAGTTGTTTTAATAAAATAAATACGTACACGTTCACTACAGAAAAATCAGAGAAGCCCAAGATTCACCCCTCATGGTGGCAGAGACGGGAATGCTTAGCAGGGTGGAGGGGTGTTGGTGGGGTGTTCTGGGGAAGATGTGGGTGGATGAAGTGAAAATGCTTAGCTGAACAAGGAGAGGAATACTTCGGGGGAGAAAGACAATGGTCATTGCTTTGATTTGAGTCTCTGCATGTGAGACATCTATGTGGAGATAAGCTTTTAATTAATGAGTTAATTTTTTATTTATAGATGTCGATGTAGAGATGGGGTCTTGCTATGTTACTGAGGCTAATCTTGAACTCCTGGCTTCAAGCAATCCTCCATTGCAGCCTCCCAAAGTGCTGGGATTGCAGCTGTGAGCCGCCACACCTGACTGGTAATGTCCAACCTTTCACAGAGATGGTGAATGCTATATTAAAAATGTATTGGAGACAGGTTTTATATTTAGATTTATATAACTGGTTATATGAATATATTTAAACACTGGAGAAATTCCTTCACTGTCTCAGAACCAAGCAACATGCACCCATATTTTATGCTCATTTGCCTCTTAAAGGAAAGGGCTGAAGATAAAGTAGCAATGTCTACTTTATATTTTTGACCTTAACTCTGCCAATCTAAGTAGAACTCCCTGTTTCTAAAATGGTTTCTTTTAGGCTGAGAACGGTAGCTCATGTCTGTAGTCCCAGAACTTTGTGAGGCAAGGTGGGAGGGTCACTTGAGCCCAGGAGTTCAAGACCAGCCTGGTCAACATAGAATTTTTGTTATTCTACAAATAATAAGTTAGTTGGATGTGGTGGCGGGCACCTGTAATCCCAGCTACTCAGGAGGCTGAGACAGGAGAATTGCTTGAACCCGGGAGGCAGAGGTTGCAGCAAGCTGAGATTGCACCACTGCACTCCAGCCTGGGCGACAAGAGCAAACTCTGTCTCAAAAAAAAAAAAAATGTTAATACAATAAAAGATAAATAAACGTAAATAAAATCAAAGAACGCAGGTGGATATACAATCAAAAGTAAATCTCCCTCTTACCTCAGATCCTTATATTCTGTTCCCAAAGCAGTTGTAGTTAATAGTTTCTTACACATTAAGATTTTTACACACACGCAAGCATAGACATGCCTATGATCTTTTCAACACATAAACGGAAGTATCAGCACACGGCCCTGCACCTTGCTTTCTTCCTTTCAAATCGGTCCTAGAAATCACTTCTGGGCAGCACTTGCTGTCTTGCCGCCTCCTTCACCCCTATTGATGACACTTCAGCTTCCAGACTTTTGCAAGGACCATCAGGGTGCCATGAATGTCTTGGTACATGGGCATCCTCACCCATGTGTGGGAGAGGATGGGCAGGGGAGAGGCAGAGAGGTGGTCTGCAGGTTAGAAAGTCAGACTTTGGACTTAAAGTGCTTGTGTTCAAACCCTGGCCTTCCCTTAGAAGCTGGTGATATTAGATGGGCAATTTGACCTCGATAAGCCTCAGCTTTCTCACTATCCTGGGGATAATAATTATCGTAATAAATAAAATGGTACCTGCAAAGCACTCAGCACAGCACCTGGCATCTCATAAGTGCTCAATAAAGGTGAACTGTCATACTATTTATGCCGATGCTGATAAATAAGTGGTGGTTAGTTGGTCGAACAACGCGGCATCATAAGTGAGCATGCAGGAGGCAGCCACACAGGTGGAACGAGAACAGGCTGTGAAAGACGGAAGAGCACAGCGGTGCCATCACAGCTCACTGCAGCCTCCACCTCCAGGGCTCGAGAGATCTCCTTCCTCCATCTCTCAAGTACCTGGGACCACAGCTGGGACCACCAAGCCTGGCTAATTTTAAAATTTTATCATTATTATTTGTAGAGGTGAGGGTCTCAATATGTTGCTGAGACTGGTGTCGAACTTCTGGCCTTAAGCAGTCCTCCAGCTGCAACCTCCCAAAGTGTTGGGATCATAGGCGTGAGCCACCGTGCCCAGTTAACATGAGTGCTTTTAAAAATATGATGTTGGGCCAGGCGTGGTGGCTCATGCCCATAATTCCAGCACTTTGGGAGGCCGAGGCGGGCAGATCATGAGGTCAGGAGTTCGAGACCAGCCTGGCCAACATGGTGAAACCCCGTCTGTATTAAAAATATGAAAATTAGCAGGGTGTGGTGGTGCGTGCCTATAATCCCAGCTACTTGGCAGGCTGAGGCAGGAGAATCACTTGAACCTGGGAGGCGGAGGTTTCAGTGAGCTGAGATCACACCATTGCACTTCAGCCTGGGCGACAGAGCGAGGCTCTGTCTCAAAAAAAAATAAAATAAAAATACGATGTTGCTGTGCAGAAGCGCTTTCTGTATATCTCATAAAAAATATGGATGGCTAACCTTTACTCAGTGTGCCAGGCACGTGTCCTGTGAGGAGATAGTAGCATTACCAGTTTTAAAAAGGTCATTGAGGTTTGATCCAGTCATACAGCTAGAGGGCGCCAGAGTCAGGCTCCCCCCTGCCCTTGCCTCCCCTCCTAACCATCTTCACCCTCCTCCCGCCCAGGCCGCCAAATCCCAGAGGTCGCACCCTGAGTTTGAGACTCTTTTTTTTTTTTTTTGAGACAGAGTTCCGTTCTTGTTACCCAGGCTGGAGTGCAATGGCGCGATCTCGGCTCACCGCAACCTCCGCCTCCTGGGTTCAGGCAATTCTCCTGCCTCAGCCTCCCGAGTAGCTGGGACTACAGGCACGTGCCACCATGCCCAGCTAATTTTTGTATTTTTAGTAGAGACGGGGTTTCACCATGTTGACCAGGATGGTCTCGATCTCTTGACCTCGTGATCCACCCTTCTCGGCCTCCCAAAGTGCTGGGATTACAAGCGTGAGCCACCGTGCCTGGCCGAGTTTGAGACTCTTTACAACCACTCCTCAGTGAAGCCTAAGGGATGAGACAGGATTCCAGGCACATGACACTTAAAACTTCTGTGTGGCTAATCAATCAAACCACCTCCAATCCAAAGACAAACCAGGAAAAATGATTTGCAATGTCTTAACAAAGAACTCTTAAAATCCAAAGAAAATGAGCCATCTCTAGGAAGAGGAGCCAGAGCAAGTCACAGGAGAAGAGACAGAAATTTACAACATAAATGACAGATGCTCAGCTTCCTCAGTTTCCCAATTAAAACAGTCCTGAGCTATAGATGGCTGCTCTGGCCTTCGCAGCCAGGGTGGGAGGTAGCAGGAGACTGAGGGTGACCTCAGGCTGCATACCTGGGGTCTATGTAACTACACAAAATTTTGGGAGAGATTCATCCCTTTGTTTCTCAAATAAGGCAAAGGAAAATGAAGATAGGCCCATAATTTTAGCCCTAAGGATAGTAATAAAGGGGTCAGAATATCATTCCCCACCCTCCTCCTCCAGCCTTGAGGAAAATGTTACCCAGTGTCCACACAGGGCTCCCCCACTCCCCTCCGCTCACCAAGGGAGCTGTGTTCTAAGTGGATCTTGGACTGCTGGTCATCCCCAGGCCACCTTCTGGCAGAAAGCTGGGGGACTCGTACAACCGGAATCGTGCTTGGTCTGCTGTTCACAGGGAATATGGGGAAACAGCTTTGTTTCTGTTTCCTGGTACCCTGAAAATTCCCTCTTGTGATCAAAAGTGACCCAGCCAGAGAAGTGGGACTCTGAACTCGACAGGAAGTCGAGCCAGATGGACATGGTGCCCCTGAGGCCTGGGCTGGAAGGAGCAGAAGCCAGGCCCCCAGGGGTGGGGGTGGCACATTTGGTGCTAACTGGCTTTCTCTGGAAGCCCTGAAGGCAGGCTCCGTTTCACACTGGCTGTTTACAAAAGTCCCACCACTGGTTTTGTGAAAGCAATTTGGACAGACCATTGAATGTCTGAAGCAGTCTATTGTCACATGGACAGGGCCAATGGCCAAACTATTACAGACACAGGAGTAAACAGAAAAAAAAAAAAGAGGCTTAAAATAATTGGGGCATATATGGATATGTAATGATTAGACCAGGAGAGCTGACGGTTAGTGACAGAATCTAGGATGTAGGTATACTGGTGTTCACTCAAAGTTTTTTCAGAGCTTCTGGGTGTTTGAAAATTTTCATCATAAAATGTTGGGGAGAGCCAAGTAAGGTGGCTCACGCCAGCACTTTGGGAGGCTTGGGTGGGTGGATCGCTTCATCTCAAGAACTCAAGACCAGCCTGGGTGAGATAGTAAGACCCTGTCTCTATAAAAAATGCAAAAATTAGCCAGGTGTGGTGGCTCAGGCCTGTGGTCCCAGATACTTGGGAGGCTGAGGCAGGAGGATCACCTGAGCCCATGGAGGTCAAAGCTACAAAGAGCCATGACAGTGTCACTGCACTCTAGCCTGGGTGACAGAGTGAGAGCTGTCT